CCATTTGAATCTCTTGGTCTCCATCCATTTCATGATAGGTCTTGAATAAAGATTTATCATATGATACATGCACCGTAGCACAAGTATCATACCCCCACCCGGGAACCTTTCCCTTAATTGCATTTATCTCGCTCACGGTGGCCACAATCTTTTCTTCTTGAATGGAGTTGATTTTTCCTTCGGAGTTGTTTCTTTTCCGGTGTCTACAGTCTTTTGCATAGTGACCAGACTTTCCACACACAAAGCAACCTCCTTTGTTCTTCTTCTTGAACTTGTTAAAGTTTCTTGAAGGCTTCCTTTTGTTGGTTTTTCCAGGTGGTTCAGATTTCTCTATAGCATTCGCTTTAGAAGTTCCTTCCGAAGAGTTTTCACTTCTATCGCGTAACCTGGATTCTTCTTCAATCCTTAGGTGCTTTTGCAATTGTTCCAAAGAATAATCCTCGGAACTATGCATAATTTTCTTCCGGTATCCTTTCCAAGTTCCCGGGAGTTTTGCTATTATAGCCCCCACTTGAAAGGTCTCCGGGATTTCAATCTTTACCGCCTTTAATTTGTTGACAAGGACTTGCATCTCATGTATTTGGGGAAGTAGGGGAATATTTTTCAAAAACTTAAAATCAAAATATTTTGAAATTATAAATTTCTTTGTACCTTCTTCCTCTGCTTTGTATTTGCTTTCTAAAGCATTCCATATCTCCTTTGCCGAAGAAGTGTTGGTGTACAAATCATATAAACGATCTGAAAGAGCATTGAGTATGTGACCCTGACATATGAGTTCATCTTCTTGTCGTTTTTGCCTTTCTGCTCTAACTGCTTCGGTTTCTCCATTGGCGGGTTCCAGTAATGGCGTCAATTCTGGGTCTAAGATATAGAAGATCTTCAATGCGGTGAGAAGAAACTTCAGTTTGTCTTGCCATCTTGTGAAATTTGCGCCATCGAATCGATCCAATCGAACCAAATCTTGATTCATCAATTTGATGGTCGCCATTGTAGTTTCGTTTTTCGTCACGCAAAAATTTGTATTGTTGGAA